TCCACCTGTGTGCATGCAACTAAATTAAATTATTCCTACTTTCATGACTCAGTTTCCTTCTTCATCACCATCTATCTCCTTCCTGAGGCTTCTCCTCTCTTCATTCTTTTCACTGACTCACTCAGATGATGAAGGTGAAGGAGGTAGGAGCTGGACACCTTGATACATACTTGGTACGTGTGAGGTATGCATGCTGAGTGGATGTCTCACTTTTTCACGCTCCAAGTGTGTAGACCACACTTGCCATTCCAGATCTCACTTCACACACCTACAGACCTTTGCGGGGGAGGGGATAAGTAAGGAGAAAAATGCAGGGGATGCTCACTGCTTGCTCCAGCTGCTTTACCCCTCTCCTGTCAGCCTCCTATCCTGCTCCCACTCTGCTGAATCTAAAGTGGCTGGATTGGGAGTGGGTGGTCTTTGGCTCCATCTCTCCTGCTGTGGGTGCTATGAGCCACTCATTTACACTTAGCATAGATCATCCAGTGGAAAAGCAACAGATGAAGTACATATTCCTGCCTCTGACAGGACACTGACCATTCCTTGTGAAGGGGAGCCCAGAAAGCCAGGTACCTGGCTTTGGCAGATCACATCTGACCCAGAGGCTGAACAATTAATTAACAATGAAGAGCGCTGCCTTTTCCAGCCGGCACGGTCAGTGGCTGATGCTCTGTGCACCAGCCTAGCTGTCACCTGGGCTGTTTCTTGCAAAACTGCCCGACCAAAAACACACAGAGAGGGCTGCAGCTGACAGCTGGGGTTATCATGGTGAGGAATTCTGTGACACATGGCACTCCCAGTAGTTAAAGGGGAGTGGTGATGGGGGCAACATGTACTGATGACGTGGAAGACCTGGGGACCTCTGGCAGAGCAAGACTAAAGCAGTGACTCCAACCTGACTCAGAGAGGCAACTACTCCAGGGTTTAGACCCTAAGCACAGGATCACAGGATGACTGGGTTGGAAGGTGCCTCCTGAGGTGAAAACTCCAGTTCAAAAGCAGAGTCAGCTATGATGTTAGACCAGATTACTCATGGCTTTATCCAGTCTGGCCCTGAAAACCTCCAAGAATGGATATGGAACAACCTCTCTGGGAAACCCGTTACAGTGCTTGACACTTCTCACAGTCAAAAAGTTCTTCCTGACCCTCAGTGTGAGCAACTCTACTTTCTCTTCTCTCACATTGCAGAAGTACTATTAGTTTGTACTGTCTTGGAATATTTTCCCACCATTTTACATCACATTCACAAAACATGTTTGCTGCAGGCTTTTGTGCAAAAACGTGAGAGAAATCAGTAGAAAAAAAGAGACAGCAATCTTGAGCTTAAGAGGCTTGAATTTTCTACTAATTTAATCCATCCAAGGAACTAAGAGAAACCCTGCCACACTAATCAGAACAGCCAGTGTCAGGAGATGTCTAAGCTGTAGTCAAAGGTACACTTGCAATGCATTCAGACACCTATGCAGACCTGAAACCCTAAACTTGGCTCACTCAGTTACTGACAACAACCAAGCTGATCTTTGGCATTTAGCTGGTTGGCACTCAAATATCTACAAGTTCCTAGATGGATTTTACAGCCTTAATTGTCCAGCAACCTCAGTGAAAATTCTCCTGTACATTCCTGAAACTGAGACCCAGCTACGATGAGAGCTGCTAGGCAGCTCACTAGGAACTATGATGGGATATCACCAGTACACAGACATGACCTGCAGCCATTACCAGAGGAAGAAGCCAGCTCCACTTCTCATTGAGTAATTGTTATCATGCCATTTTACACAAAGCACACGTATGACATTGAGATGTGACCGTGGAGAAGGTGGCTGGATATCAGGTTAGCCTTTTAAGATCACTTTTCAGCTTTTCCCATACCTTAGGAAATCATAATGTGATCATTGCCATTGCCATTCATAGAGTATACTCTATGACTCTATTTCAAATTATCACATATGGAGCTTCTCTGTTATGACCCTCTCAATTACTTTTCCCCAGGGAGAAATAACCAGAAAACTCATATTTAGGAAAGAAAATGTAAAGTTGCACATCACTAAACATGTGCAAACTATGACATCTAACTAGATCATAGTAAAACATCCCTGCGGGAGATGAAGAAATCATGTGGCTTGCTTAAAATTGGAATGGAAAAAGGCCCGGAGCAAGCTCAGGGCACAATCCTGCACTGGCCCTTGTATGGTGAATAAACTAAATGTGACTGATTATGAGCTTTCTATCACTAATTAAAACCTCTTGAATTCTGAGTTCAAAATCTGCTCCATGTAAATTTCGAGGTAAAACCAATACAAGCATAGCTTGTACATACGCTCCCTTCTCTAGGACCTACCTGGTCTTGGAAGGCAATACAAAGCCTGTATACTGAACTAATTCTGCAAAAATCTAACCAGATACACTTGGAAGAGAGAACACAAAGCTCTGCTCATGCTAGGATGTTAGTTTCCAACCACATCCTAGAGCTCAGACCTAGTACTTCAAAGCATTGATTTCCAGCTCGAAGAAAATATGTCTGAAGAATCCTCTCAATAACTCCAGGAAGGCTGGAGCCAAAAAATCTAGGCTGCCAAGTAAGAATTGTTCTGAACAAAATTCCTTAGGTGGAGTAGTCCAACTAAAACTCAAGAATTCCACCTTCACTAAATCCAGCCTCTAGGACTGACGGGAGAATAAGCCTCTTCTAAAGCAAAGCAGTGTAAAAGTTTCACACGAAGCAGGCATCAGACAGTATTACTACATTCATATCTGACTCCCACAGAGACCACAATCATAGCTGTGCAATCCCCCCCAGCACACGCCTGCGTAACACCAGGGCAAGAAAAACTCCTCAGTTAACTGTATAAATAGGTCCCTAAAGTCCACTGAGCTATCACCATCAAGAATGAACGTGTATCACACTAAGCAAAAATTGCTATCATATGAGAAGTCAAACATCTGTACCATTAAGGTGTTGTGATAAGGCACGAAATGATGACACAGACACTGCTGCTCTCGAGGGGAACAAAAAAGAAGAAGCTTTATTTTCTGACTCCAACATTTATAGTTTTCTAAAGGTGACAGTGGATTGGAGGGTGACAGTGCTACCTCTCCAATGCCACTGGACAGACCAAGGGTCCATCAATTCTCTCCACCTCCATGAAAGAATGCAAAACATAGGTTATTTACAGAACTGTGTGTGAGAAAGTTTGTTGAAAGAATGCAAACATCAGAAGGCTTAACAAAGTCTTACAAAATCAGGGCAACATTAAGGTCTGTACTGAAGGACTGCAATTTGCAAAGTGAATTTTCAGCTCTCATTATCCCATCGACATAGCAGAGATGCTATTTTCTGTTTTCATCTATGCCCACACAACTGTATGGCATTTATAAATATATATACAAACATATGAGAATGATACTTGCAACAGCTCAGTTATACCAGGGGTTTTTTTGTAACATAGACTCCAAGTCACAGATCATAACAACGCTGCCACGCACAGGAACAAACACCTGTAGTTTGTACGACAGCTTAACCACATTTTGCAGTGGAGAGTGGATGTTACTGAATGCATGTTTGTTCTTTATTTCAACAGCACTGTGGGAAGAGAGACCAAGAATTAACGCTGCCAGTTCAGACACACATCGATAAAAGGTGTATCAATAATTACCCAGCTAACAGAACAATAATGTCCTCGGCAGTGTGGAGGATAGGGGCAAGACAGGAGATGGAAGCAATACATGTCTGATATGCTATAAGAGACACTGATCCACGTGAGCTTGGAGAATCTCAAGGGAAATATTTCAGTGATCTTTGCCATGTAGACATGTAAGAGATTTCTCTAGGTCATAAGGACATTTGAGACCACTGAGAGACATAGGCTAGATACAGGAATTAATTCCTGAAGTAGAAACTGGATTCTGTAGTTTAAAGTTTGCTGCTGCAGGAGTAGATGGTTCCCTGCAAGCGCTGACAAAGGGCTTTCCTACTGAGACAAGAAGTGTCACAGCACGAGGCTTTGACATAAATGCTCAGATTTACTCTGGGGTGACACAGTCCCTCCATCTGGGATGGTGGTGCAATTCTGATGTCCTCAGAGGTCTCCTTTTCCCACAGATGCCCGCGTGCTCCTGGGAGAGACAGAGCGGACGGCTTGGGAGCGAGATGTACTGCCAAATGAACTCTGTTTTGCTCTCAGAGATTCTTTTGGCATATTGAATTATATATCCCCATGTAACTGATAGAGCTGTACCTGTGGTTTGCACAGAAAAAAAAAAAAATCCTGAAGGCAAGAACGTGTGGCCAGAATGCTGTGTTTACCTGTAGATACCTCTGCTTAAAGATCAAGGACCTCTTGGTATCTGCATGTGTATAGGAGGGGAGAGGTGGGTTACACAGCCTGAAGGCTTGGGATCTTTTGCTTAAAAATGTGCATGCTGTGGCCCAGCGGAAGGATGCGGTCCCTCCCCGTGTCCCCTCGCAATAGCTCTGCGAGAGGGAAGGGATTCAGTTTTGTTTGCTCTTCTCCATTGAAGTCTACGCAGGGGGAAGGGGGAGACAAGAAGACGTGCGGATCATGCAACGTTATGTATCCTCGGATAACAATAAGCCCTTACCGAGCAAAGGAGACCGCCGCCGGCCGCCAGATCCCGCTTCGGGAGGCACGGCACGGCACGGCACGCCCCGCACCCACCCCCTTCTCCGGAGGCGCCGCACTGACCCACATGTTCGGCGACCTTTCGTCACGGGTGACACGGACACACGACCCCCGGCCCCGGGCACGTCCCGCCGCCGCGCTGCCAGCACCTAGGCCAGCGGCTCGGCGCAGCCCCGCCACGCCACGGGAGACCGAGGTGGGGAAGGGTCGCACGCAGCGAATGGCGCGGCACGGGCAGCCGGGAGCGGGGCTGCGAGGGGCGGCCCGCCGCCCGCCCTGCCGGGGGCTGCCGTGCGGGTACCGGGGCGGGGGCCGCGGCTGCCCGAGCATCCTCCGGCGCCGTCCCCGCCAACGCCTTACCCACGGTGCGGGATCCGATGCAGCCCATCACTCCGGCGGAGCTCCGGGGAGAGGCGGCAGCCTCAGCAGCGAGTAGGCGGAGAAGGCGGGGAGCGGCGGAGCTCGGAAAGGAGCCGGTCCCTTCAGCGGGAAACGCCGGGGTGGCCCAGCGGGGACCGGCGTGGGGTCATGCTCAGGTGGGAGCGCGGGGTGCCCCCGCCGGGGCGAGGCGGGGAGCCCGCGGGCCAGGCTGGCATCTGCCCCCGCCGCGGCTCCGCGCTCTGCGCCGCGCCCTCCCCGACGGGGGGCGGGCTGAGATTGGGTAAACAGCTCGGCCCGGCAGCGCCGCGCCGATTGGCTGCCGCCCTCCGCGGCCCGGGGAGGGGAGCCAGCGCCGGGCCGCCCCTGTGCCCGCGGGGAGCGCGGGACGGGCCGGCTGCGGGGCCGAGGCGAGGGACCCCGGCGGGAGGGCGGGCAGGACGGGACAGGTGCGGGATGCGCGGGATGCGCACGGAGCGGGGCAGTTCGCGGGGCCCCTCCCGCCTGCCGGGGGAGCGGGGCGGGCACAGGTGAGCGGCGGGCGGTGCCGCAGGCCGGGAGCGGAGGGGGGAGGCGGGTGGGCAGCGGGCTTGTCCCTGTAAGAGTAAAGCAAGTGGGACGGGGGAAGGTGGGTGAGCAGCGGGCTCGTTCCCGTAAGAAGAAGCAGTAGCAGCGAGGGGCGGTGGGGATGGATGGCTTGATGCATGGATGGCTGGAGGCATGGATGGATGGAGGCATGGAGGCGGGGCGGGCGCGGTTTCCCGGTAACTACACTCGCGGACCCGACTCAGTTACCGGCAGCCCCCCAGCGGCCGCGGCGCGCTCCCGCGCGGCTGGCCCGGCCCGGCGCGGTGCCGGTGCCGGTGCCGGTGCCGGTGCCGGTGCCGGTGCCGGTGCCGTCCCGCCGCAGCCCGGCCCGCAGGGACTGCGGGAGCTGCCGAGGGGCAGGCGGCCCGCGAAGCCGCCCCAGCAGCCATGCGGCTGGAAGACGGTGGTTCCCCGCGGTTCGATCTGCCCCCCGAGCGGGCCGCGGGGCTCAGGCGTGCGGCGCCGCCCGGCCTCTGCCCCCGGCCCCGCGTAACCGGGAAGGAAGCAAGCCCAGCCTTGAGGATGCTCACTGAGGCCTTTCCCACGTCCTCCCCGCTAACATGGCAGTGAGGAGGGATCTCTGCAGATGTCAAGGTGTGGTTAGGTCAGTTCCCTTCACAGCCCAAATTCTTCTCACCTGATGGCACCTATCAACAGGCAGCATCCTCCTGGCCCGCTTCCCCAGCCCCTCTCTGCAGTCGGGTCCGTCCACCATCACTCTGAAATGCTCACAATTTCTCCCTGGCCCTTTGTGTCTCCTTCGCCCAAAAAGCCTCTCTGATCTCACCAGCATCCTTACACCCATCTCTAGTAATGGCAAATTGAATTTTGCTGATCCCACATGATCCATTTTGATCTCATCCTCGTGCTTGGAAAATTCAGTTTTTGTCAGCATTGCTGAGAAGTCACTCAAGACAGCTGATCATTCTTCATTAACAGCAGTACCAAAGAATAGGTAAGTTCATTCATTTTTCCATTCACACCTTAGTGTCAGCCTAAGGAAGGAAAAAAATAAGCTAAAAAAGGACTTCAGACAGAACGTATTTTGCCTGACCCTCTGAAACAATAAGCAGGAAGTCTACGCAGATAAAGTCATTTGACAAAATAAAATCTACACAGGAAAGACAAAGGCAGTAAAAAAACCCCAAACCACAGTCTGAATATATGCAGCTGTTTTATCTTTTTCCTTCTTCATGAAATTGAAGGTATTACTATGTATGGTGAACATGATGCTGCTGAAGTGTGAGAGATCAGTCCCCTCCTCTCTGGTGCCCGAGGCCAGTCTGCTCTGCTGCTACAATGCTTATGTGTCACTGGGTACAATGCATTTGATCCCTGGTGAGGATGAAGTTTTTCCACAGTTAGAATTCTTTCCCTATTTCACTCCTTCCACCTCCCCCATATATTTCCAAACGTATCAGTTTTCATCTCATTTTTCTGAATGACTTACTAAAGATACTTTTCCCGACGTGTCTACACTCTTCTAATCTAGGTTGTAAAAGTACTGGGAAACAATAGGTCTGGCAGTATGTTAACTAAGGTGTTTCATCATCTCTAAAAAGCAGATCTCTAGGGCTAAAAATGCAAGGAAAAGGGAAGCAAAAGCAGATTGCAATGGGAAAAGTGGTATATTAAGAAAAAGTCCTGTTTTGGGTAAATGTTTTTTAAGTTGGTGGCTGCCCAGCCAGCTGTTGTCACCCACAGTCTCCTGTGATCGATCAGGACAGCTGTCCTCAGCAGTTTCACCAAACCCCCCCAAACAGCATTTGCACCTCACCCTGGCCTAAGAAGATGTATTACTGACACAGCTGTGGGCAATTTCTTTTCCTCTGTTCAGAGAATCTGGTTTCATTTTAATCCCCTTCTCCCTCTCACCCACCCACCAAATCTAAATCTGTTCCTCTGTCAACCTTCTTTGTGCACTGAGAGAACTCTGCTGTGGTTTCCTTTTCAGTGAAAATTTCAGACAAGTCACATTGACTCTTCTTTCTTTATTCCCACTGAGCTTGTCTATCTCTATCTCAAGCTCAGAGTCATATCCCAAGTCCTAGCAAATGCACATTTGGCTTTCCTTTCATTAAGTTACAATATCATCTACATCAACCTGCTCTGACTTCTGCCCCAGGGCATGATTCCACAGGCAGGTGAGCAAGTCCTAGCACTTACCCTGCCTGAAAAGCTGCTTTCCAGTTCTTTATGCTGCTGCTTTAGTGACATGGTAGTTTATGCAGGATCTGGCAAGCACCCGTGCTGCTGCCAGACTTGCACAGCAGAAAAAAAGAACTGGAAGGAAGGATTATACCCAGGTGTCCATTTATTTGCTCCACAGAACTATTGGTCTGTCTTGTGGCTGTCTAGCATGTCCTGATGCCACCAGCTCCCTCATATTTTTAATTTGAAATCAATATCACTTAGCTGCTGGAAGCAATACCTGTCTTGGCACTTACAGCCATGCTTCATTTCTCATTTCTGATATAGTCAGCTTAATGAAAGGACAGACTCTTCACCATCTTTTGGTTCTTAATCACACCTTTATTTATCATGTTTACATAATATTATGTGTTATTTATATTTACATAAATCTCCATATTAAAGTCAATTTCATTCTCATTAGAAGTTGAGAAGATTTTGCTGAGACTCAGCTTTTACCCAGTTGCTCAGCTCTTCTGTACAGTATGTTTTATGCAATAGGGAATTTGTCATCAGTGAACAGTTTCTAGTTTTTATCAAGCCAATAACAAAATTTTAAAAAACAGTAAAAATGTTTATCATGTAGTACCAAAAGAAAAGTAGGTATTTTACATGCAAGAAAAACATGGTTTAATAAGAATGTGATTTCATAAGAATTATCTCGTAGGAGGGAAGTGACAAGACTGAATCTCTGAACAAGGGACTGAAACAGAGCATAAATCTAACTGTCCCCCACAGTTTTTGTCCTTGCACTTTAATGAGCAACAATATTCCCACTGCTGCTTCAAGGAACTGGAGGTAAATGACAGAACATAAACAGTTTTGTTTTCTTTGAAATACACTTTCTGACAGGCTGTGGATATTTTCTCTGAGCATTGTGGGTTTGTTCTTAAACAATGAGGCTACATTTACTTGCAGGAAATTGTATACAAAATTTGTTTGCTAAGTGCTGATTTAAATGCTGGTCTGAAAGATCTTCACAAGTGTAAGTTTTTGTACAGGTTTGGGAGAGGGAGGTATTTAAATATCTAGAGAGAAACACGGTTAGATCTTTTTACAAAGCTGGGTACCTCAGAAGAAAGGAGCCCCTTGCAACTTGCTAATTTGTTTTTATGGGGTGAAATTATGTGCCCCTCTGTTTATTGCAGATCTGAAAATCCCCCCTTCCACAGCCCCTCTTGTGAGGGACTGTGTTGGCAAAAGGGAAGGAATGTTTGACCTGTTGTGTTCTGTAGGTCACTGCCATTAGCAACTTCTGTTTGCAAAACAGAGCTTCACTGCTGCCCAAAGTAGGTCAAGGATGCTGCTGGAGGAAGTGCCACATAAAGATCCCTTGACTTTCTTCTTCCTCCTTTCCTGCAGTTTTGCAATGAATTCAGCAGAGAAATTGAGATGCCATAGTCAATAAGCATGCGCTCCTAGGTGAGGACCACCTTTTTCTGGGGTTGTATGCCAAGGTGAATTGGGAACAGACATGGATCCATGCCTCTGTTCCCCCATGCCCTGCACACAGAATGGTCACTGTAAGTCTGGGCAGGGATGGGTGGGGAGGAAAACACAATTCCAGCAAATCTAAAAATAGTCACCTTGTGACTGATAGAGTCACTAGCCCGATAGAGGGGCTGATAACAGCACAGAGCAAAGCAGTTTTAGAACTAGTCTAGATCTTAGCAACTTGTTCTAAACCTACCCTGAGGCTTCCATCATATCCCTGAAGACCAGCTTATGCTGTAAATTAACTGTTTGTTTGTGTTTTAAGAGACAGCTGCTCAATAGTGTTCATCTCTTCTATAAGCCATTGATGAATCTATTAAACCTGTTTAACCAGATGTTCCCTCTCTCTCTCTCTCTCTCTCTATATATATATATATATAAAGATCTTATAAATTATAAATACTGGAACAGCATCTTCCAAAGAAACGCTGCCTATAAAATACAAAGCTATTGTCACTGTCTTACCTGCTGAGTAAATATATTCTTTTCATCAATTAATTATCACGGATGCAGATTATATCACAGTAGGTAATGTGCCCCTGTCATCTTCCTTAGCTACCACTAAAACCGGCTAAAATGAAAAGAAAAAGCAATATATATCTTGCCAACAAATGTCCCACTTTCAAGTAAACATTACCAAGCACCAGATAATGTAAAATGTCTTCCTTTTGCCTATTCTGTCCTCAGAGGTGTCATTGGCAACCATGCCTATTATCCCATGAAAAGACTCTGGAAAATGAATGTCCACCTTTTCCTTCTCTGATCCTTTTTAAAATCCTTATGTAATATCTTGTGACCAGCCATTATCACAGAAGACACGGAGAAACTTCCTACATGCAAGATGTGTCTTCAGCTGTGGAAAATGCGCAGAGGCCTCTGAAGTTCATGAGTAGGAGATGTTTACAAAAATAGTGTCTGTATCAGATCGATAGAGGCAGGAATCGTCCTGCAGGGGCTGTTGCTCCAGTATGCTTCAC